GGGGAGGAACCATTGGGGGGGGGAGGGGGGGGGGCCGGCCGAACCGGGATCATATATGGGTAGTTTTCTAAATCAGGGCCCCTTTTTAGGTCCCCAATACAGTACGACACCCTTATAAGAGGACCCTAGAATGGGACCCTAATTTAGAGAACCACCCATATGATGTAGCTTGGAGCACCCTGGCAGGGAACAGCAAACTCAACCACAAACCTGCAATCGTCAGCCCCAGCACTCCTGGCAAAGAGAAGCATTGTTATTCTACTGAGTGTTCTACTGCACGGGGGGGGTCAGACCCTTCACTCGTTAAGGGTGTTCTGTCTCTCTCTCTCCCTCTCTCTCGCTCGCTCTATCCCTGTATCTTTCTCCCTAGCTCTCTCTCTGAAGCCTTTACATAGAATGATTGTAAGGGCGCTATCATTGCGCTGGCTCCCGTAGTCCCTCATTATCATCATCATCACCACCCCACTAGCCTCGACGACTACTACTACTTCTGCTGCTGCTGCTGCCACCAACATCACCGCAACCACGACTACTACTGTACTCCCTGCTCCTGCTGCTGCTACCACCAGCACGACGACGTCTACCAATTGCTTCGACGACGACTGCAAGTCTACAGCAATTTTGATTTTACTACTGCTAACGACGACGACGACTACGACGACTAGTACAGTACTCTACTGCTAATACTCATCTGCAGGAGGTTTATGGCGTGAAGGTACAGGGTGTCGGTTGTAGGAAAATACCGTGGGGCTCAGAGCGTGTAGGTAGGGGCAAGACAAGGTACTTCCTGTTCTTCCAGGCGTACATCATGCACCTGTCCTGCATGTTGAGATGTAAACCCTAAACCCTGAACCCTAACCCTTGCCCTAAACCCTAAATGGGTTTGGAGCGTCGAGATCTTTGACTTGAAGTTTCTGCTGTGCGCTTGAATTGAGCTTCGGGCTGGCGGTCGGTGGGCACCGGTTTGGACAGGATCTCAAGCCTCGTACAGCACCCATGGTCTGCATCCGAAAGCTGGATAAACCCTATAAAAACTGGATCGGTTCGACATGAGCGCTGAACTCGGAATCATGGAGAAGTCTAAACATTAAACATAAACAAATCCTGCGCCCCAACCCAAACACAACAAGCACAACCCCTGGGCAAGGTTTAATTTTTCTGGGGCGTCCAGGGACCTGAATGCCTGACCCTATAAACCTGCAAAGGAATTGAAGTCACCTGCCTGATTGAACAACCCAAAGGGTCCTACATACTGTTATGAGGGATACTCTCCCAAATCATAGTAACAGTTCCGAATATAGAAACCCTCGATTCTATACTATATAGGTACTTTGGACCCTTTGGGCAAGAAAGAACAGCCACTTGAAGGAACTACCAGACCCCGAAAGGTGCAAAGGATGAACCCCTAAGCCCTAAACCCTCAATGCTCAAAGCTCTAAACCCTAAGAGCCCTAAACCCTAAAACCCTAAAGCCCTAAAGCCCTAAAGCCCTAAAACCCTAAAAGCCCTAGAAGCCCTAAACCCTAAAACCCTGAAGCCCTAAAACCCTAAAACCCTGAAGCCCTAAAACCCTAAATCCTAAACCCTAAAAGCCCTAAATCCTAAACCCTGAACGCCCTAAATCCTAAACCCTAAAACCCTAAATCCTAAACCCTAAAACCTAAAACCCTAAAACCCTAAAACCCTAAAACCCTAAACCCTAAAACCCTAAACCCTGAACCAAGGGACTTGGAGGTCGAGTCTAGTTTTTTTCGGCGCATGATAGGGATGGCGAGGTCTTAGCCTTCAGGGACATCGGAAAGCCGACACGTGTAAAACGTGCCTCTATGGGTAGTTTTCTAAATTGGGGTTCCTTTTGGGGTCCTTTTTATAAGGGTGCCGTACTATATTGGGGACCTAAAAGGGACCCTAATTTAAAGAACTACCCATATCTGGATGCCTGCAGCCTCCAGCCATCAATCTGTCAAGACGGCCCCCTACCTCATACCCCGAATTGAAAAACCTAGACCCCACCCCCAGCATCATTGACTTTAAACCCCTCCCACACACACTCCGGAAAGAACCCTTGCGAGGATGCCAGAAGACTTACTTGCGCCACAGGGTCTAGGTTTTTAGGATTTAGGGGTTTAGGGTTTAGGGCTTTACGGGTTAGGCGTTGAGGGTTTTAGGTTTTAGCCTCTAGGGTTTCAGGGCTTCACGGGTTTTGGGTTTAGGGTTTTGGGTTTAGGGTTTAGGGTTCATGTCTTGAAAGAACCACCGTCTACAATAGGATCGGGTCTGGGGCCCTGAAGAGTTCGAGCCTAAGCAGGTGCCAAAAGGCCCTTGCTTAGATCAGTGCATGTCGGCGCATATTACATATTTCTGGGTTTCGTGTCTTTGTGTGCCTTGTTTTGGATGGTGGCGGTGGTGGTGGTGGTGGTGGTGGTGGTGGGTTTATATCTACATATACATGCCCATACATATGTACATCATGTATGTGTTTACAAGTAGTTATACATATATACATACACACAGACAAAAGCATAAATGCATCAACCCTAAACCCTAAACCCCTAAACCCTAAACCGCCTCGCGGATCTCGCAGACCCAGGCCTCTGGAAATGAGCATCCTCACGATCGCCATTGCCGCAGTAATCGTTGAAAGCGTTTGCGGGCCTGGGCTTCGGAAGGGGGTCCAGGCTTTAAGGGGGTAGGGTCTAGGGAGTAGGATTTAGAGTTTAGGGTTTAGGGTGCAGGTAAGGGCTTGGTTCAGTGTTTTCGGTGTAGGTTTAGGGTCTATAGTGGCTTCGGGGTGGATTTTAGCCATGAAGTGGTCGTTCAATACCACCGCCTGGACAAACATGGAACTCCAGCTCCCTAGACATGTGCGGTCTTTCAAAGGACAACCGCAGTCTACAACACGCACGTTTTCAGGGGAGAGTGGGTTTAAGGTAACTAGGACAAGTTCTTTTAGATGCATGTAGAACGGGTCTAGGCCAGCCTTGGGTGGGTCAGGTTCGTGCTGTTTGTGGGGAGCGGGGGTATGGCCGCAGTTAGGTTTGGTAGTGGACCCAAGTGTCACGAGATTGGGATGCATCGCATTGGCACCTGCTCCATGCGCGAAGAGAACAGACAGCCACTAAACTAGTATCACGGACACTCAGAGCATCACAACAAATCCATCTCGGCATGTCAACCTAAGCCCTAAGCCCTGACACCATGGAGCGTTCGAGGCCGACAGGCTCCTTTCCATGCAGTGGTTACCGAACTTGTAGCTTGAAAGTTGAAAGTTTTATGCAGCCTTTGAAACATCTACAGTATTAGTATGTAACCCCAGGAAAACCTTCGACCTCCAGCATGCAAAGTGGATCCCTAAACCCTAAACCCTAAACCCTGATCCTTAAACCCTAAACCCTAGACCCCGCTAGACCATCTCCTCAGGGTTTCTAACCCTATGTAAACGCAGGGCACGAGACGTCTTTGCCAAAACAGCTGGTGTTTTCCGAAGGGTCCCAAAGTGAACCCTGAACCCTGGACCGCCCTTAGCCCAGCATCGCAAACAACCACATCTTATCGGTGCTTTTGTTGTTGTTTGCAGTAGCACACATTACTTATATATCTAACTTTGATCTATGTATTTGTATTGTGGTGAAGCTGCCGGCCCAAAGGGTCTAAGTACTCATATAGTAGTTGTTTTGGGCCTTATGTAAGCACGTAGACCCTTTGGTGAACCCCAACCCCCCAGGTACCTACAATATAGGGCCCTAGGGCCTCTAGTACCTTATATAGTAGGTACTTGGGGGGTTAAGGGAAGCTGCCGAGGATCATCAATGTGGGTCCCTTTTAGGGTTCCTTTTATAAGGGTGCCGTACTATATTGGGGGCCTAAGAAGGGACCCTAATTTAGAGAACTACGCATATGTATGTACCCTAAGGGTCCAAGTACCCAATATTTAAGGACTTTAGGGCCTTTTTGGGTACCTAAAACCATAAATAAGGACTACTTGGACCCTTCGGGGTAATCAACACTCCTTGTGGGGAAGCTGCCGAGGATCATCTAACCCTCAACCCTGAACCCTAAACCCTGAACCCTATAAACCCTAAAAGCTGCCGAGGATCATCAATGTTCTGCAGACTTTGAAGCTTGCTCCGCTAACCTTCTTCCAGACGCTGCTCCTCCTGGCGCTCCCGGCGAGCTTGCGGCTACCGGGGTTGAGGGCTTGGGGGGTTTTGGGGTTCAGGCTTTAGGAGCTTTGGAGTTTAGTTTGGGTTTTAGGGTTTAATTAGGCTTTGGGGTTTGGGATTTCGGGCTATTCGGTTGCTTTCGGTCTTGACCTTGGGGGGAGGGGGGGGGGGATACATACATATATACACGCACACACTCATGCATACATACATACGTACATACGTA